TTTATAGAATACACTGACTGAGATAATGCATGCAGCTATAAACAAGCAACACAAAAATCTGTAACTAAAAAAAAAAATCACAAATCGAATAGTAGTTTGTGATGTTCGAAGGGAACTGGGTTAGGAAGTCCTAGAGGTGTCCACATGCATAATCTAGAGGGTATAATAGAACAGCCTATCTCTCTACATACCCTTTGATACTTCAAAGGAAGCCACAAGCTTATCCAAGTATTCAACTGGGAACTGGCCCAAAACAAACTCCTGCTTCTTAGTGCTGCTATCATTCTCCATTTCCTTCCCCTCTTCACAGTAGGCCTTTTTCCACCTAGATGAACATGCATGATTGAATGTAGCTATCTGTTTGCCTTTCCACTGGAACTTTGCTGTCAGGAAGATTTGAACATCCTGACCAGGAGATAAACAGCAAAAGAGAAATGAAACCTGTTGAGCTCCTAAGGCAGGAAGAAGGAAGAAGTTCCCATCCATCCTGAATATATGTCCTTTTTCCCTCGGACAGCTGTGACTGTATCAAATATCACCAACAAAATCCAAATCCTTCTTGAATTCCCAGCTGTGGCAGGAGCCTATAAATCCTGTTTGCTTCACATAAACAATGCAAAAAAACTCTTTCTCTGGAGAAAGAGAAAACAAACACCTGTTTTATTTGTCTCAGCTTATATCAAAGCTTTTTCTACAATTAGCTAAACTCTGTTAGGAAGGAAAAGGACATATTTTACATAAGAAATAAACAAATTCCAAACTGTAAAATTAATGTTGCAGTTTCCCAAGTATTAACTTTCTGAACTGCGAAACAGTTTTGAAAAATCTAGTCCTCCCTCTCCCAAAAGTCTTCAAACTTGCTTAAATTAAGAAATGTGTTAACCTAGCAGTGTAGCTGAAAAAAGATGAGTCAGCTGAACTTCAAATCCCTCAAAAATTATAAATTCCCATTAGAAAATGATTCAATACTTTCCATAAAATACCAGAATGCCAGAACTATATGCCAAATAAACCTCATTTGGACAATCATATAAGGCTTTGTAAAACAAAGCTTAAGAAGCAATGGGCAAATGTATGACTAATGTATGTCTAAACAGTCATAACATCAAAATCATTGACTATTTCAATTAAAACAAAATTTTTAATTAGGTTTAAGAGCTGTAAAAAGTTTCCTTGCCTTGACAGTTAGTATAAAGGCTTTAACATTTTGCAGATAAAGTTGCTCATAAATGCAGTCACTTTGAAACTGCCATTAATAATAGTCATATGAAAGAGGAAGCCAGTGCAGCTGTTGATCAATTAGATGGAAATCTGATTACATTTTCATTCATACCATTTGCTTTTTCAGAATTTCACAAGCCCTAGAAACACATGCTTTATAACCATACAAATCTGAACAAGATTTCCTATGAAGCAGGTGTCCAGATCAAGACTTCATAGGGGTTCCTAACCCTTTTCCTGAACATAAGGCTATCAATACAAATACAACTGCTACATTTTAATGAATGGAAATGTTTCATAAGATCTAATATTTCACTCTTCATGAACATCCAATTGATTATAAACATCACAACTGCTAAGAAAGGAAGAACTACTTCTGGAGAAAAAAAATGGCAGATTGAAGAGGCTCTGTGAAAAAATAGCTGACAATCCTAAATATTATGATTGTTAGAAGACTGTTATAAAAGAAAGAGATATAAAGTTGGTTTATTTGATCAAAGTTAAAATAGATGACTTGTTATTTCTGGTAACCCTTAATGGACTTTGACATCCAAACTGAAATGATGATGCTTTATGGATTTGTTTATGGATAAGGGAATAGGATCAATTTGTTGTATTTTAAAAGGAGGTGATAAATTGCTAATATTTATATTTGTGATGCAAATTGGAATTCATTTCTTTGTATATTTTTATTTTTCTATTTGTATTTTTCTTTCTTCTCTAATTCTCTATTTTTTTCTTTCTGCATCTAGTGCTCTTCTATCGTTTTAGTTTCTGTTTATTTTTATTGTTGTAGCTATAATCATTAATAACATTACTATAAAAAAGAAAAAAAGAAATGAAAAGCAAAATCATAAAATGGAAATGGTAGGAACATGATATTACTTTCAGGATAATATTCAGTATAAATTATATAGTTTTACTAACAAACAGTCCCAGGGAATTCAACTGTGTTTATTCCAAGGAAGTAAGTGGATGTTTCCAATCTATCCATACATTTCTTACAAATGTATGCTGAAGATTGTACTGTTCTTTGGAATTATTAATAATTCCTTGAAAAATTACAAAAAATATAAAATAAATTATGAAAGTTCTCTCAGAGATCTTTTTCTACAACACACTATATAGAAAAAATACTTTTACAATTTAATTACTGAGCATAATATTGAAACTGACTAACTTCTAAAGAGAATAAGAAATAATAGGATATGGCAAAATGATATTTTATTAGTCACATTAAAACTTTAAATTTTTCCTGGAACTGAAATGGAAGCCAACAAGATTCATTCATCACTAATGAATGAATACAGTTCATGAGATGTATTAAGTTAACAGGGGCTGGGGGAGTGAGGAGATTCAAACTAGCATATCCTCTGCCTTCACATTCTCCCACCAGTTATATGTAATGTGTAGAGATGCCTCACTAACAGAAGATTAACAAAACATGCCTAACTGAAGCAGGGTTATTTTTTCTATGTTTTAAAAACATGCTGAAAGGCTTCAGAACAGACTGAAACATAAATATAAGCAACAATTACAAATGTAACCTTGTCTCTCTAATCAGAATAGCATAGACCAGTGGTGGCGAACCTATGGCACGGGTGCCAGAGATGGCACTCGGAGCATTTTCTGTGGGCACATGTGCCGTTGCCCCAGACCCCCTCCTCTCCAGCAGCCCCCCGGAAGGAAAGTCGCCCCTGAGTGTGGCCCACGCGGAGCAGCGCAGCCAAGGGCATGGCAGCCAGGCAGCGTAGACAAGACTCTGCCTTCATACTCCATCATGCACAGTTGATGCTGCAGGGCGCAGGCAGAGGGCATGACTGCCATAGCGTTGCTGGGTTGCCTGGGCGATCTGCGGCAGGCTCTGGAGGCAGTGAGTGGCCCTGCGGGCACGTGAGCCAGGGGATGGGGGTGGAGCAGGGGCAGGGGGTGGAGCGGGGCCAGTTTTTTGGGCACTCGGTCTCTAAATGGTTCGCCATCATTGGCATAGACATTCTAATGAGTTTCTAGAATGGTGCAAGGTAATCCAATCTATGAACCTAAACCACTACTGCTATAAAATAATATTGTTTCTCTCCATAAAGTGAATGGGGAAGATCCTGCATTTGAGGTAGTTCTGTGTATATGAAATAAAAGATATATCAAATAAGAAACTACTAGATTTGCATGTACCAGAGCTGAATTAGGACCAGAGTAAGCTTTATTGTGCATGAAGGCAATTAAATTGTACATTTAGTATATAATTACTTGATCCTATTTGTAAAAATTAGGGAAGGAGCCATCCACTCTTGACATCTGATCTCCCAAAATTATTTTTCTAAGCTGTTTGCTTTTCAAAAGAAGCCATGGAACTTGCTTAGAAATGAAAATGCTTTTGAGTTGTCAAAACTACAGCAGGAAGAGAAAGGCATATCCTCATATTCTCTGGGTTTCCCTTTAAATACTCTTTATATCAGGGGTCCCCAACCTATTGTCTGTGGCCCAGGACCAGACCGTGGGCTCTTGGCCAGCGGGCTGCAGAAACAGCTGGCCAGTGTGTACACGTGTGGATGCATATTCCCCATTTGCGCTAGCGCCTGCAGCCGTTTGCACATGCACGTGGGTGTGAACGGGAATACAAGCATGGGGTGGGTGTTCACAGCCTGTTTGCACATGCGCCACTAGCCCAAGCGGTTTGCACGACCAGTTTGCCAATGTGCGAATGGGCCACTAGATGCCATGGGGTACATGGCTGTTTGTGCATGCACATGGCACCAGCGAATGCACAAATGGGGCTGCTAGTGCAGCACCAATGTGCGTGGCTCTATGCACATGTGCGCATATCAATTTTGAAGCTGCTCTTCTTCCCTCCGGTCCTCGAGCCCGGAAAGGTTGGAGACCTCTGCTTTATATAGCAATAACATTCTAAGTGCATATCTCTTTAACCCTTAGATAATCCATTAAAATTTAATACCCTATATTTCTTTCCCTCCCAAGATACTGTAGGTTGTACAATTAATGGCCATATACGATATGATGAACCTATGAAATATATTCAGTGCTTTGACATTTTTGCTCTTTTTCTTCTTTCTTCTTCAAGTTTACAAACATTTAATTGTAAACAGTTCTATGGTTAATGCTCATTTATCACTTAGATTGTAGGAGTTTTTCCTGTTTACATAATGTAACTAGCATTACATTATTGCAAAATTATGGCTATATGAATGTATCACACATGTAAATAATGTGCATCATTTAGAAATAGAAACAAATAGTAGGAGGTAGCCATTTAGATATTGAGTCCAATCCTATTGCTTAGTGCAAGAATTCCATCTAATCATCCCCATCTGTCTGAAATGTTAAATGGTTATGACAAAGTCTCCTAAAGTGTAAGATTAAGTGCTAAATAATTGGCTATAGAATGCAAAGTAAACTATTTAATTCACATTTTTTCATTATGAGACAGAGTCAATTGATACATATATAAAATGTATATATTTAAGATGTATTATAGATTTTCTTTGATTCTTATATAATTATAAAATTGTAGAATTTTTATAATTCAACGCACTATTTTTCTTAATTACCTGATATGGTAAATATCTCAATATCAGTATCAATTTCTACTTCTATTTTATTTTCCACAAACTTGGATAATCATCAATTGTCTTTTAATTAGTTGCAACATTTCTTCTGCCTTTAATTTTAAACAATATATCATGAGACTTTTTTAAAAAAAAATCCCTTCTCTCTAAAATTCCAACCCTATGAAAAAAATGTGATATCATCCATTTATTTACCTTGGCCTTTTCACCAATGACATTTCTCTCCAACTCTGCTATCTTCCTGTTCAAATGATCTACTATTTCCTTCTCCTTGAGCAGTTCAGCTGTTTCAGATTTCTGCTCTGCTTCCAACAGGGCACATTCCATATCCGTCTAAGAACATAAAAAAATTCTCTGCCGCAATCTCCTTCATAAAGTAATTCCAGCATACAGTATATCTTGAAAGCTTATTTATATGTGATATACATTTGAATACAGAAAACACTGTTCTTAGAAAGCCATGTTTTAAATAGATGAACATATCTAAACGACAGAAAATGCTGCAAAATATTGAATGCTTAAATCAAACTTCAACAAGGTTATTTTCATAAAATGCCTAGCTCCTTTGGCTTGTAGTTTAAGAACTTCCTTGTGACAAATCATTGCACTAGCACATTGGAGCAAAAGTAAGATTTTCAAAAAAATAAAATTAATGGAAATGTTTATAATTGGGCTGAAATTAGTAGGAATGGATTGAGAGGATGCTTTACCAATAGCACTTAGACTTATATACCGCTCCATAGTGCTTTAGAACACTCACTAAGCAGTTTACAGAGTCAGCATATTGCCCTCAGCAATCTGGGTCCTCACTTTACCACCTTGAGCCAGTGAGTCAATCTTGAGCAGGGGGCTGGACTAGAAAATCTCCAAGGTCCATATCATTCTTATTCTTGTTCTGTTCTGTTCTATTCTATTCTAGGATCGAACTCCTGGCAGCAAGTAGTGAATTAGCCTCAAATACTGCACTTTAACCACTGCGTCATCATGCCTCATGCCTTTGGGTGCTCTGGGCTTTCAGAAGTACAATTTACTGAAATCATACAGTATCCATAGCAATTGCCATATTGACTATCATTGCCAGCAGTAGTCAGTTCAAATTGATATCTATCTGTAACGTTCTTATATTTACAAAATGTAAGTACAACATACTATAATATTCTGCCAGACAAATCTTCAAGGGTACAATTCTTTGAAGATATAGTACAGAATAAATCCCAATATATACGGAAGGATTTAATTCTGAACTAATATGTATAATTTCATTGGCAGTATGAAAAGCAAGAGTGTAGCCCCAAATTATTTATTGATTAAATTCATTAAATTTGTATGTTGCTCACCTCTATACCAAACAACTTTCCGAGGCTTAAATTGAGGCCTAATTTACCAGTATCCAATTTACAGTCTAGATTATAACTGCTAAATCTAATTATCCTAACCTATTTTAGTTTTGTATCTGACATATAATAATATCTAGGGCTAATTCCATGTAGGAAAGTGTTAAAGGAATTAGTCAATATTGTGGGTGAAGTTAACAGATATAATTATTTCTTTGAATATTCACTTTATTCGTGGTCATGAAATATTATTTATGAGAAATGCCATTTTAATTATCTGTATAAGTACGGATTATATAACAAGAATTTACAGCATATTTAAAGATGAAAATCCATCATTCAGAAATAAACAAAAGAGATCTTATACCTCTCTGGAGGATTCATCCATCTGATCATTTAAGTCTTTGATCTTTTGTTCAAGTTCTTCCAGGTTATTTAGTATTATAATGCGCTGTTCTTCCATTTGATTAAATTCTGATGTTACTTGTTCATTGCTTATACATTCTGGTGACTGTAACAAATCAATAATTGCATTTTTAAAAAAGAAGAGTTTTTAAACGATAAGCATGCAATTATCATTTTTCTTTCTTTTCCTAAAAACAACCAACCTAAAATTAAATTATAATAATAACCTAATATGTTATATGTTAACATGTTAAATAATCTAGTTTGGTTACAGTATGTTTCAGAACATTCATTCACTTTCATATTTTTTTCTATCAACAAAATAAGCATAAACACAAAAGCATGAACAGAGCATAATAATTGTTAAATCATTTCAAAGCTTGGTACAAAAAGTCTTTAAAATGTAATTCCAGAAATCCTTAGTGTTTCCTACAATGCTGTGGTAAAAGGAATCAGGCTTGAAAGTGGGAGGGAATGAGTTCTAGCGCCACTTTAGGCATTTGTTCAATCTTTATTACAGTCACATTATCTCAGGCAATAGCAAACTACTTCCAAAAATCTTGCCCCCCCCCCCCCAAAAAAAACTCCCTACAAACCCCGGACTGGCCCAGACAGTCACCAAGACTCAACACTGACTTGAACAGGGAAAAAAAGAAAAGAAGAGATAAGGCTTTTTTCTTTATTAAAAATATATCTTGATCATTTTCTCTAGACATTTTGAAGATAATCTATTTGAACCAGATGTCAACATATAAAATGAAAATGCTGCCCTCTTTAGTGATACAATTGCAATCTGTGTGAGGATGCTTATGATCGATTCCTTCCTGTCATATCAAAGGAAGATACATTTTCTGGAAAGTAGCTTTTGCTGAAAAGAAGTGGCATCTGAAAATCACACAGCTTCCTTTTGTATATTGATAACAATAGTCAATCGCAAACTACACTGAAATCTGGGTGTGCCTCCAGAAAAGAACTTTCTTTTCCTCTCCCACCCACCCTCCAAAAAAATCTTTGAAACAGTCTTAAAAAGAAAAAAATAAATATGTCTGGAATTGCATTTGGCAAAATATACTAACAGTTAAAATTTACAGGAGATATCTACTGATCCTTCCACTAGAAAAGTATTCTATTTACCTTTGACATAATGCTTAGATAGGGAGATTCAGTGACATCCTTCAGGAAAGCAGAAGATAAAGGTGAACTCGTCCTGTTGCCATTTAAATGCTTATTCGTTCTGATTCCTCTTGAGGAAAAGAAACCCATAGAATTTTGTCCAAGATCACTGAATTCAGAGAAATCAGAATCTTCAGCTGGAATCTGCAAATGATCTCTGAATCTTGAGTCTACTATTATCTGAGAATCTTCAAAGACAGAATCTTCATCAGACAACTGGAGTTTTTCAAGTTCTTTATTAATTTTCTGAACATCAGCTACAGTAGTGATTGTGGCAGGTTCATTGTCAGGCTTGGAATATTCTGCACACAGATTAAGAATGGTCTCTAGCCTCTGACGCTCCTAATATTGAAACAAATAATTAAAAGTAGAATATATACCACAGTTTCACATATTTTTCAGGCATACAGAAACTACCAATGACAACCAAACTTTATTCTAAATTATGAATAATATTTATATTGAAAATACAGATTAAAGGAAAATTTCAGTATTCATGGATATTCAGAATCCAATGAATAATCAGAATGGCACCACCAGTGAAAATTAGCTAGCACCTTCAAATTCAATCACATGGCCCTAAAAAAGGCAGTTTCAACCCCCCCCCCCGTTTATTTTAGAATTTATTACTAAACTTATAAAATCAGAGACTGAATATAGTTTGTGGTTTAAGCGCTAAGTGTCATCGTGAACCATGAGATGGGCAGCAAATAAATTTGATTAATTGATAGACAGATAAATATTCAATTGTGCAAAATGACAATAAAAGTAATGGCTTTCATTTTCTTCCACATTCTATAAAACCGAAAATATTTCACAACATAAAAAAGAAGTATAAAAGAAAGAACGATGGAAGGAAATTTCCTTATTCCAAGGAAATAAAAGCCTATCTATTTAAAGTCCACAATAAACCTTGAGCATTAACTAAAAGGCAAGACTATTCAAGGAAGTAACTAGTTTTACTCTGCTATTGATTTTGCTTTGAATTTTGTATGGTTTTTGTCTTTTCTTGCTTTCCTCATCTTCTTCTTTTTCCATTGAAGTCTTTTGAACTACCACATCTCCCCAGCCCACCAGAACAGGAAGGAAAAGATATGTTGTAGGTCCCTCTATTATAGAGGCACATCTTGTAGGGCCCAGGAAACAGCCTCCTCTATGGTGCCTCCCTCTCTTTGGACTATCATTCTTCAGAGACTGAATTACTTAACAAAGTAAAACTTTGTTACTTCTCTAGAAGACCTTGAATACGTGGTTTTGTCAGCAGTTCTGAGGACCCTTCATTGATATAGAGTCAATCAAGCGGCTGGCATGAGTGTGGAAGGGAAGTTTATGGTTTTTTAGCTGTTATATTTTAATGTTGTAAATCACCCAGAGTCAATATTGTGAACTGGGTAGCCTATAAATTTGTTTAAAATAAATAAATATTTATAGCTTTAGCTTCATTGCTTTAATATGGGAATTTTTCATTAGATAATACTCTCTTGGACAGTTACACCTTTGTATTTCAGGCCTGCAACAAATTTTGTTCTATATATCTAAAGATGGCTACCTACTAATAAAGAACCCTTCAAATATTATGTCTTTTATAAGTCTTCTGCATGTAAGACAGTTTTTAAAGAAAAAGTATAGATAATTTTATTTTCCTTTAAAAAAATCAATATCCTTATACTCTACCCCCCTTGGAATGTCTTCTTATGTTTCCATAATTGGTCTGAAAGCAAGTGATAGGATGGTAAAAAAGTATATTAGCATAAAGAAGCATGAACAGAAAATTATATGAATAATTTCACTTTAGTAACATCTAACTGGGTTGCTGAGTCACACGTATTGAGAAAGTCTAGTCATTTTACAACATCACAATCTTACAAAATCTATTGCTAACTCAAGAGCTTTCTATCTTTGAGTGTAATATGTCACAATTTTAAGAGAATGTATTTTTCAATCTGCGAGCTAAGGTACCATAGAAATCTACTCTACATTATAAAGCAGTAACAACGAACACATATACTGAGAAGCTTCATCTCAAGATACATGTTCTTCATAGTACAGGTAATCCTTGATTTACAACAGTTCATTTAATGACCATTCAAAGTTACGTCACTGAAAAAAGTGACTTAGGACCATTTTCACACTTATGACCATTGCAGCATCCCCATGATCATGTGATCAAAATTCAAATGCTTAACAATTGGTTCATATTTATGAGTTGCAGTGTCCCGAGATCATGTGATCGCCTTTTGCGACCTTCTGACGAGCAAAGTCGACGGGGAAACCAGATTCACTTAACAACTGTGTTACTAATTTAACAATTGCAGTGATTCAGTTAACAAATGTGACAAGAAAAGTTGTAAAATGGGGCAAAACTGATTTAACAAATTTCTCATTTAGCAACATAAACTTTGGGCTCAATTGAGGTTGTAAGTTAATCACTACCTGTATTTCAAAGAGATGCTCATTTCCCAAGATAACCCAAAACTATGAATTCAAATTCCTCTTTTCCTTAAAAGCAAAGATAAGAGAAAGCAAAGATAAAGACATTAGATATAATCAAAGTCTTTGCCTAATTACTTAGAAAATCTTGTTGAGTTAAAAGGATGCACATAATAAGTTCTGAAGTCTGCTTAACCCTTTGTTTTAGCAGGAATTGGAGGAGGGTGTCAAGTTGAATAATCAAATGTTTGCATATCCGTGAAATTAATGCAGAAACTTCTTTATTAAAAGAAAAAAATAATCTCTTAACTATTCAACTCACAGCTGATTTTTAAATCTGCCTAACCTATGTATACAGAAAAACTCAAATGTGGTATTAAAAATTAAGTTTATATTTTTAAATTATCCGTTAATTTATATTCCCTTCCTCCCTCTTTTCAAACAAAATACTAAATTAGAAAGACAAAATGACAATGAAATCCTTGCACCTTAAAACTCCTTTCTTCCCTCCAAGCATTTTCACTGTAAGCCTTCAGCTCTCTCTTCTTTTGCTTAAACAGTGTTTGTTCTCTTCCTCTTAAAGCTGAATCCTTTGAGTACCCAACCCATTTCTGAAAGCTTCGTCTGACTGCTGGCCAGGAACACCAACATTCAGCCATTATTTGTTGACTTTAATGCTACCTTCACAGCAGTTATTAAGAACTGAAATAAACAATGCTTGTTCACTGAGCCCACCCCCACATATAGTGACAGGATATGTTCGTTTTGGTATCTTTTTCCTCACTCAACCTTCAGAATGCAGGATGTATCAAATAGTAGCCCACACACACGTATTTTCCTCTGCCCAGTTCCAAATGAATGCAGCCGAGGTGTACTTTGACAACGGTATGTACCAAACTCTTACTTTTGGACTGAATGCTATCTGGGCACTATACAGATTTCTATTGTTTGCTAAAAATATCTATCATTACCACCAGTTAAAAACACAAATTGGTAAAAAAGAAGTTTCTCTCTCTCTCTTGTACTTGTACACACACACATACACCAAAACAGCTGAAAATAGTAAGAAATGACAAATTCTTGCTGCTTACCCCGTTTGTATAAAAATGCTTCTCCTTTTAAGCAAGAAATATACTTCCCTTGGTTTTAATCACTACAACAGTGGTAATTGGGAAACATGTTACATCATTTCTATTTCAAAGTGCACAACATGATATCAGAGAACTTATGTGCAGGAAATTCTTTGGGCTGCTATTTTGTGGTATCTATTTTCATCACAGGCCTCCAGCTATTCCTTATTTCACTGTACTTTCATTCTACAAATTTATAGTAAACTATGTTTTTCAAGTCAATTCAAATGTGTATACAGTATGTAAATACATAGTCAAAATTCATCTTTATGTAGAATATCGTATTTTAAATTATAGATAGCTGATCTGAGTGATTGGTCACCAAATTAGTCTCTTGTTTTCAATGGAAATGATAGGAAAATAACTTTCAAATTATAGAGTCAAATATGAGAGATTTACTCCAACAGAATTTTAAGGCCTTTTTCTTTTTTATTAATAGAAACATAAAATATTGGAAGGGGCCTTGGATCATCTAGTTCACAGGTCAGCAACCCGCAGCTCTGGAGCCACATGCGGCTCTTTCAGCTTTCTCCTGCGGCTCCAGTCCTCCTCCGCCATTTGCAAAGAGAGAGAGAGAGAGACAGAGAAAGGCACTTGCGCTTCCCTTCTCTCTCTCATGCGGACTTGCCCCCTCGCGGGGCTCCTGATTGGCCGTGCCCTGCTCCCTGGGAGAAGTGTAACCAGGCAGTCCCTTTCCCGGACTGGCCCTGTCTGAGGCGCACGGGGCTGGAGATCCCCCCAGGAGTGCCTGCCGGAGCCTCTGCTGAGCGGGCCAGCCCTCCCACAAGCCGCAGTCCCAGGAAAGGGGTCTGCCCCATTTAGGGTCAGGGGCTCCCTTCAGAGTTGCTCCCGAAGTCCCGCGCTTCCCCTGAAGCCCACCAGGAGATGGGAGGGGAGGTGGTGGCAGCTGCTCTCTCAAGGGACCTCTCACCAGCCCAATGGATCCGTTGGGGGACCCTCACCTGGGAAAGGGAGGTAGGCAATGACCGCCGGATCTCCCGTGGGAGAAGCTTGCTCCATCCTTCCTTTCCTTTCAGGCACTGTTTCTGAAAAGGGGGGCAATTGGAGCAGGAGAACCCTTCCCCAGCCCATCCCCACCACACCTGCCAGGGTCCTGTGGCTTCCCAGGGAGCCTGGGTCAGGGCTGAAGGGGGAGGAAACTGGGTGCTGTAGGAGCCCCAGAGCTGGAGGGAAGGAAGAAGCTGGAAGCCGCCTGGAAGGTTCAGCGCATGTTGGGAGAGTTTCCTCTCCTGGGAGCCCGGCTCCCCCCACAGCCCAGTGCCCCGAGTATCCTGCAGACTGCTTTTCAGGAGGGGCTGCGGTGGGGTCCCCAGATCAGCAGGACAGGGAATTGGGTCTTCTGTAAGACCCCGGGGTGTCTCTTCCTGATTCTGCTTAGTTCCGGGTCTTTGCTCCGAAGGGAGCCCAGCTGAGCGGCTTTGGCAGTCTTCCAAGTGGGGCTGGCTATGCCGCTCACTGGTCAGACCTGGAGGGTCGACCCCCGCCCTGCCGAGGGAGTCCACAGAGCCCAGCCATGTCCTGGGATGGAGCCCCCAACTCAACCAGGAAGAGAGAGAGAAAAGAGTTTTGGGTTCTGTTTCCTCCCCCCACAGGGAATTTGGATTGTGGCAGATGTGAACTGGCCTCAGGGGAGCGATGGATGCCAAGAGAGGTAACCCCCCCACAAAGTTATCCCGGAAAATAGAGAGAGGGAGGAGAGGAAAGAAAGAGAGAGATTTTGATTTTTTTAAATTAAGAGATATGGGGATAATTATGCTGTAT